GTAGAGGTTACATGAGCCTCTGAAGGAAGAACCGGGTGGGCCGGAAGAGCATGAGAGAGAGCTAACTCAATTATTCCCTGAGGTCTGGGTGGAAGACAACCCCTCCTCTCCCCAGGCTGGCTAAACATCAAGCCCGAGTGATAATAGAACTCAAACCAGGCACCATCCCGGTTAGAAAGCGCCAGTACCTGCTACCAATAGAGGCCCGGGCGGGCATACTGCCCCACATCAATAGATTGAAACAAGCAGGCATTCTCTATAGTAGAGTGCCAGTCAGCTTGGAATATGCTGGTCCTGCCAGTCAAAAAGGAAGAAGGACAGGACTATAGGCCTGTACAAGATCTCAGGCTAGTCAACCAGGCTCATGTGACTTTACACTCCACTGTTCCAAACCCCTATACCTTACTCAGCCTCCTCCCACCGGGGACTAAAATTTATACTTGCCTAGATCTCAAGAATGCCTTTTTCTGCGTACACCTCGCCCCAGCGTCACAGCCCATCTTTGCCTTTGAATGGGAAGATCCAGTCAGGGGCACCAAACAACAGTTCACCTGGACTCCCGCACAAGGGTTTAGGAACGCTCCAGCCATCTTTGGGGAAGCCTTGGCTTCTGAACTGGACTCATTCCATCTGGAAGAGTTTGGATATTGGCTCCTACAGTACATGGATGACCTGCTGCTGGCTGCTGAGACCAAGGAAAAATGTTGGGAAGGGACAAAAGCCCTGCTCCAGCTGTTGATGGAAACAGGTTACTAGGTGTCAAAGAAGAAGGTGCAGATCTACAAAGAGGAGGTAGGGTATCTGGGGTTTGTTTTAAAGAAGGGCACAAGGTTCCAGACCCTAATTGGGTCCTGTATACTGATGGCACTAGCCTGATAAAACAAGGACAACGGCTGTCAGGTTAGCCAAAGTGGAAGGGGCCATCAAGACTAAAAAGGGATGGTGGGAATTACCAAGTGGCAAATTATTGGTACTGGAGGAGCTGGCACACACTCTGGTAAGCCAAACATACCAAGCGACCTACCTAGGCCATGCTGCCTGCTCACAGGTTAATGCTGCCTCTCAGGTATTCAGACAAAATCCTCCGGATATTCAGCTGAAAGGCACACTGCCCCTTGAACACCTGGGAGTGGACTTCACTGAAATGAAACCTCACCAACACTACCATTACCTGCTGGTCATGCTATATATGTTCTCGGGATGGGTAGAAGCTTTTCCTACCTGGACTGAAAGCATCAGAAGTAGCCTGGTGCCTGCTTAGGGAAATAGTTCCCAGATTTGGATATCCTACCAGCACTGGATCAGACAATGGCCCGGCTTTTGTAGCTGATTTAGTACAACAAGTAAGCAAAACTTTAAACATCAAATGGAAATTGCACACTGCATATAGGCCCAAAGTTCTGAGATGGTGGAATGAACCAACTGGACACTTAACGAGACTCTCCAAGTGGATAATAGAGACTGACTCCTCCTGGGTGGACTTGCTTCCAATGGCTCCGCTCAGACTCGGGATGACCCCACAGTCCCAAGGCTGTTCCCCATACGAAATTGTGTATAGGAGGCCCCCTCTCATAATAAAACAGGTGTCAACAAATTTGCCTCAGGTAAGGGTGGGGGGGGATAGGATTTCGCAGCAGATGGAACTGGATAAGGTAATAAATTGGGTAACTAAGTTTGTACAAGAAAGGCTGCCATTCCCCTTTGGGGAACAGATTCATGAGTTTATGCGTGGTGACCAAGTATGGGTCAAAGATTGGAAACTTGATTTACTAGCCCCTTGGTGGAAGGGCCCTTAAACTGTTATTCTAACTACCCCTATGGCAGTTAAAGTTGCAGGTATTGCCCCTTGGAACCATCACATGAGGGTGAAGAGAGCATACTATGCAGACCCAGAAAACGTTGAGTGTACTGCACAGAGGGACCCCGCTGACCCTCGAGAGACTAAGACCATCCTTAAGAAGAAGGAAAAGAAGATCCCAGACGAGCCCCTTGGGGATGAAGCCGCATAAACTCCTGTTGCTAGGTCTCATCAACATGCACATTCCTACACCAACTTCCACAGTACCTCCTACTGTTGGGTATGTGGGGCTATGCCTCTGTCTGTGATGGATGGACTTACCTGGGGGCTGTCACCGCTCTGCCAAGGAGATTTTAAACCACTCTCTTTTCTGGGACACAATTGTAATCTCTCCCTGCTCTCTGGGTGTAAACCAGACCTACAGTCAATAGACTTGGGTTATGGGGTTACATTTGATATAAATGCCAGTGTAACAAAAGCCTAACCTGCAACAAGCCCCAGTAAATCTACCTTATTTACATTCTAGGTGGACAAGATCTGTGTTTCAGTATGAGTGAGTTTTAGTATGAGTGTGAGCAGTATGAGTATCTTGCTGCCTTTTTCGTACCCTCTGTAGGGACAACAGATATAATGATTAAAGTAGAGGCCTTGACCGATTTCACAAAACAGGCCTTCCTAGATAGAACAAAAGCCATCCAAGCCTTAAATGAAGAGCAAATCCAAATGAGAAAAGTGGTAATTCAAAGTAGAATAGCTTTGGACATACTCACAGCTGCTCAAGGAGGGACCTATGCTATAATTAAGGTTGAATGTTGTATATGCATTCCTGACTTATCTGGCAATGTATCAACTGCTTTAGATGACATGAAAAACCAGGTAAAATCAATATCAAATGAAAACATTCCTTTCTGGACTTCGGTCCTATCTTGGGTGAAGAGCGATTGGTGGGAAACTATATTTACCATTGTTATAGTTGCCTTGATAGTTTTGCTTTTTGGACCCTGAATTTTACAATGTATGATGAACTTTGTAACCCGAAGGTTGATGTCATTCTCCCAAATTGGCGGTCGGAGAGCCAGGGTGCAATATATCCATATGAATGATGCTCATAATATGAGTTAAGAGCCTCAAGAGGGGAGAATGAAGGAGGAAACACACAGAGCTGGGCTCCATTTTAGGCCAGGTTGCAAACATTAGGTTACATGCATGTTCACCCTACCCAATGGACTCCGAACTTTGCGCCCAGTGTCTATAGAAATGGCATACCAATGGAAAACCAGACCCCCCCGGATAAAAGAGCCTCAGGATTTGTACTTGGACTCTCCATCACCTAAAAGAATATGCTAATTATCTCTGTAACAGAACAAAGTGGTAGATTCCACTATGTTTATCGGGATATGACCACAGGCCTATTGATAAATATCCACTGTTTATCTAGTCTTGTGACACATGAATCATGGGTTAACTTTGATTGTATCATTTACCTTGTCCAGACTAGTTTCAAGGAATTTGGAGAGGTGATTATGAGCAAGTACGCTTAGGGTATATAAGGTTTTCACAAAAACTGGTCGGGGTCCTTGGCTAAGAGGAGACTCTGCCTTGGGCCTGCCAGTGTAATAAACTGCAAGACCAAATATCAAACCCTGGTCCATGGCAGTAAAAGTGGAGTGCCAGAATATTCCCAAAACAGAGCACTTAAACATGAGAACTAATGGATTTGTTGTTGATCAGTATGAAAATTAAAGCACACTGCTAGAAGTTGGGAGATGAAGCCCTGAAGGAAGGAAAGGATTAATATTTCTTTTTCTTGTTTGTTTCATTATTTATCTCCCTTTTCCATGCATCTTGTTCTCACTTTATGAATAAAATATCTTTCTAATCTTCTTGAGATGTGGGTTTGAGTTTTCAAAAATTTTTCATTTTCAAAGTTCTTTCAACCAGAGAGGAGTCAGGAAATACTGGCTGCACCTGAGGACCCCAGAAAGGAAATTTTAAACAAAGTGTTTTTAACTACAAAGATTTCTAATACAGGACATAAACTTAGTAATATAATGATATTATGAGAAGATGGGGAAAGGTATGAGAAAATGGATTAACATAACTGAAATTCTTTCCTGGTAAGTAATTAAATATCAAAAAGTTTAAATCAAGAGAAATAAATATGCAATACCTAGCATTTATTAGCTATTGTGGTTGATGACTCCCCTCTTTGCACCAAGCAACATTCCAAATGCTTGGTAGGCGTTCACTTACTTTTAGTTCTCACAATGACCCTTTAAGAAAGGAAACTGAAGCTCAGAGAAGTTAAGTAACATACCCAAAGTGCCCAGCTAGTGCCACAGCCAGAATTCAAGTCCAGGTTCCTATCTCTGGAGCAAACACTTGCACACTACTCTGTCCCCCCCAGTGTAAGAATATCATCTAAAGACATTAATTATCTAAAAGAAAGAAGCTTTTCCTTGGGAAGGAAGGAGCAGAATTCTCTGTAGAAATTGATTTATTTTAACAATATGCACTTAGCACTTGGATTTTTTAAACTTTAAGGCAGCAGAAGTCACTTTATAGCAGTTAGTAATCCACACGAAAGTGGCTGTGTCTGTTGCCATCACCTTAAAACCATGGGAGCAATCAGATGAAGTGCAAATAAGAAGCCTGACTCCTGCTGTGACAACTGTCAGTGTGGGAGACATGTTCCTGTTGATGAAACCAAGTTCTCTAAAAACATAGGGATGATAACACCCAGAAGCCAGAATAATCAGAGTGAACTGTAACCTTAAACAGACACACTGTCCAGCAGCCTCTTGCCCACCCACATGTGCACCCATGGACTTCTGTCCACTCAAAGGAAGGAAGACCCCTTGGAGTGGAGGTGAATCCCACAGGGCAGCATCTCTGCTCCTGCAAAGGCAAGGATGCTCTTGAAGATACTCAGAGCAGTGGTTACCAGGGGCATCCACATAAAATCATAATGGAAAATAAATATTATTATCTTGTTTAATTGGATCAGGCTGATCCAATTATATATACCACCAAAGTTAGATATAAAATAGTAGTTTTGTTGCAAATAAGAATTAGTATAATGGGAAGTATTTAATTCTTAATTGAATTTAGTAAGAGGAATCTTGCATTCTATGACTATTTTCCCTTCTGTTTATTCATGTGAGCATTTATAAAGTTTTGAGAAATAAAACAAGAAAAATACCTGACATCCCAAGACAGGCCTGTTGTCACTACAGGGTGATACTCTTCTCCCGTTGGATGTAAAGGCTCTCACAGAACTCCAGCCTCACACAGGGTCACCCTGAGAGCAGGAGCAAAGGAGACAGCAAACACCAATCACTGTGCCCCCACCAACACCACACCCCCTCCCTTGGCTGAAAAGCAACACTGCTCCTTCTTTACAATTTACACCTTTATCCTCGCTCTGGTATCCATACATGGTGTTACTGAGACTCTCATTGACTGCCCCTGCTCCCTCGGCACCATTCTCTGCAGCACTCAACTTAGAGTGACCCTATTTCCTTAGAGCCTCCCACAATTGCCTCACCTGAGCCCCATCCTAGAATCTACATCTTCCCCTGCGATGCCCAGGGTTCTCCCTCAGGAAGAATAACCTAACCCTCAGCTTGTTCGCTGGGAAGTGGTGGTAGAGACTGGAGGTACTGACATGTGGATGGAAGAGAATTCATACAGGCAGGCTCCTGTTGAAGCATGTGGGAGAGGAGAGTTGGCTGGTACCCTGCCTCCTTCTCTGCCTGGGAGCTGTATGACCCCAGAAGTCAGGGTAGCCAGCTGAAATCATGAAACACGAGGACTAAGTGCCAAGGCAGAGAGAGGAGGAGGGTATCAGAAAAGGCTGCCCTTGGATCATACCAAACACTTGTAAATGTGACTGCACCCTTGATCTCATCCTTCTGTCCTTCCCTCCCATTCTTGTCCTGGTCCTGACCCTTGTCTGGGGCCTCAGCTGCCTGTGGATGCTGGACAATGCTCCCTCTGCTGAATTACTATCCGGGGTGTCCTCCTCTGTTAGCCTCTGATTGATCACTTCCTGGAAAGGCTGTGAAGGAGAAGGCTGTGAGGGAGAAGGGAGGACCTTGGAGAAACTTGTCACAGCCCAACTGTATGGCCAGATGCAGAGCCTCACAAAAGAAGAGTGTGTTCGTTTTTGACTGCAGTAGGTACCTGTTAAATATGTCCTGCTTTAAGGAGAAGAAAGAGACAGGCAGGGAGAGAGGGAGAGCAGGAGAGGAGGAGAAGGCAAAGGAAGGAGGGGGAGGTAGGATGTAGAAGAAAATTAGGAAGAAGAAACAAAAAAATACAATCAATCCTGAATCCCAAAGTGACCTAAAGGTAAACTTGAAAGAAGAAAAAAAGAACAGCTAACTACAAATGTACTGGGCAAAATGAAAACATACTGGAAAAATACTGTTGAGATGAGGAAACTTTTCTCACAAGGACACAAATCCCAGAAACCACTGAAACTCTTAAAAATGGAAAATTGTAAAGGACACCATAAGCCAGATCAGAATACAAGAGTCCTGGAGACAGCGTTTGCAATGTTTACAGTAGATACGGGTGAACATCCTCAACACACATCGGAGCTACAAACCCACACAGAAGACTGAAATCAGCTTTTAAAAACAAGAAATCAGAACAAACAATTCCCCAGGAGGTGACTTGCCCAGGGTCACTTAGCTCTCTGTGGGCAGAGCAGAGGCCAAGTCCAGACCTTAAGACATGGGTATATAGGTGGGGAATGTGATTTTATTATCTTTTTTTAAACTGATCAAATTGTACATTTTATTCTTTTTTTATTTTTTTCTTTATTTTTTTGTTTCAGCTGGGCTTCCTGGCATGTGGTCAGTTCCCTGACCAGGGATGAAACCCACAATACCCTCAATGGAAGCATAGAGTCTTAACCATGGGACTTCCAGGAAAGTCCTAGGAATGCGAATTTAAAAATTCCAAAGTTTCTAGGTTTGGCCTCTGCCTGCCTAAACATATAGATCTAAGGTCATGCCCCTCCTGTTATACTGACGTGTCTACAGTTTGGCTCTTTTTTAATCTTAATATTGCAAAACCAAGATCATAACACAGACATAGTGCAGTAAGCCCTTCTCACTTCCTCCATATGTGCTGACCTCCCCTGCACAGGACCATCCATCACCTACAGTCCTGAACTGAGGGCCCAGAGAGCACAGGAAGACAAAGCCCTGGGTCTCCCCACTTGGTCACCTGTCCTTCCCCCCTCAGGTCTCAGTGTCCCCTCAGAGCCTGGCACTCAGCAGGCCCTGAGAGGCAGGCTGGTGATGAACCTGGATTCCTTGTATCTCAGAAAGAACTGTTTCCCCATCAGCCTCAGCACAGCACCCAGGGGCAGCCTCAAGGTGGCCAATGTACAGGAGGAAAGGGTCTGACCTCCTCCATCCCCTCTGCCTCCTACAAATTGCCCAACAGAATGTGTACCCTCAACACACACCTTCCTTCTGAGGTCACCACTAACGTCTCATGGTTGCTCAGGAGAGCAGCAAGCTCCTAGACAGAACACTTGCCAGGCTTCCAGCAGCTGACCTGTCCAGTCTCCAAGCATGTGCACATTCAGGCCCTCAGGAGGGAGCAGCAGGAGGTGATGGGAGAGGTGGGTGGAGCCAGTGCTGAAGTCTGGGGTGCTTCCTCCTGTCAGCAGGGGCCCACTCCCATAGAAGTTCTGGGGGGACCTTCCCTACCTCTCCCAGCTGGTGGTGGCTGCATCATTGCCTGACTTGGGGTTGCATCCCTGCATTCTGCCTCCATCTTTTCATGGCCTTCTCCCCCTACTCTCTGTTGTCTCTGTGTGTATCTTATAAGGATGCTCGTTGATTTAAGGTCCACTCAGATAAGCTGCAATGATCTCATTACAAGATGTTTCATTTAAAGGATTTTCAAAGACCCTTTTCCACATAAGGTCCCATACACAGTTGCAGAGATTAGGTCATGGACATACTTTTTGGGGGGCCACCATTTAACCCACTCCAGGACCCACAAATTTCAGTTCTCCCCCTTAAGGTCCTGTGGATTATTACTAGAGCTAATCAATGATTACAGTAAAGTTGCAGGATATAAAATTAACACACAGAAATTCCTTGCATTCCTATACAATAACAATGAGAAAACAGAAAGAGAAATTAAGGAAACAATACCATTCACCATTGCAACAAAAAGAATAAAATACTTAGGAGTATATCTACCTAAAGAAACAAAAGACCTATACATAGAAAACTATANGGGCTGGTGCACTGGGAAGACCCAGAGGGATGGGGTGCGGAGGGAGGCAGGAGGGGGGATCGGGCTGGGGAACACATGTAAATCCATGGCTGATTCATGTCAATGTATGTCAAAAACCACTACAATATTGTAAAGTAATTAACCTCCAACTAATAAAATAAATGAAACAAAACAAAAAAAATGTCCTGTGGACTGACTTCACCTTGTGCAGGAGAAGTGCTGGAGGGTGCCCATGTCTGCCCACCAAGTGGGAGGGAGCAGTCCCCAGGGCTGCCTGACCGCCCACCACACGTAAGCAGGAGAGCTCAGGGGCCACTGCTCCCTGAGTCCCTTGTGAAAGGAGGGGTCCTTGCTCCCTCTGCAGCCATCTACGTGTGTCTTTGGAGCCTAAGGCATGCTAATACCCCTCCTCGTCTCGCCTCGCCTCTCTTGTCACCCCTGCTTATCCCTCCTCTGCTGGCCCCTGAGGTGGACTGTCCACCCTGGTCCCAGCAAGTGCTCACCTCTTCACTTGCCTCCACTGAGTTGTCAACTTTCCCACGGGTCTCTGACTGCTGGTATTAGAGACCTCCTCATTCCTAATTCTGCCCCGTTGCTTATTCTTCCAAGTAATTCCAAATCTTACTTTCAGATTGTGGTTGTGAATACAAAACCCAGAAATGCCTATGATCATTTTCTGGCTGTGGTCCCCTTGAGGTGATGGTGAGATGCTCAGAGGGGCTCCATTGAGATTAAAGAACTGTAAGAGATTGAGAAAGGTCACATCTGACGCTGTGTCACAGCATCTCCCTGCTACATGGCAACAATGGGCATTTAGAGACAGAGGACGAGGTGGCAGCAGGTCACTTAACTTTACTATCTGACTGTTGGGCAAATAAAAAAGCTTTAGTTTCCGTTCAGGTTTTTAAAATATTGAATAGAGATTAATCTAGAGAGATCAACAAAAAAGGTGACACTTATTCTGTGCTTTTTGAGTAATTTTTAAACAGTGACCAGGTAATATCTCGTAGTTTTTTTCCCCACAAAAATGCCATGCTTTTTCTGCAATGGTGGCTATAGAAGAGACTAATAATTGTCCCCAAGTTTTCATCCTTCCCTCCTTTTTAAAATGATTAAAAAGCTTAAAACTTTTTTCTTAATGTAGTAAAATATACATAACATAAAATTGGCCACTTTAATCATTTTTAGTGTCCTTATTTTTTATAGAGAAGAGACTGAATTTTTGGTGTGTTTGTGGCAGCCCAGACTCCCTTGTAGCTCCATGTAACCTTATTGCTAAGTTCTGACTAATCAAAGGTGAGGGAAATGATGTGTGGATCTTCTAGGAGATGTCATTGAAGGGAAATTCCTGTGCTCCATGTCCTCTTTTGTCCTTCCTTTGGGCTGGAATGTGTGATGAGAACCAACTTCCATGTACAACCCCCTGGAAATGATGGCAGAGAAGTAACAGTCAACCTACCTACCACCTACCTCCCAAATACCTAGCAACTTGGATGTTCATATCTGAAATAAAAAAAATCTACCTTGTTTGTTGAGAATACCAATAGATTTTGTGAGCCCTTAGTTACAGCAGCTCAACATCCCCATCCCAACCAATACAAGACCTTGCCTAGGCTTCACCCCTCCTCTAGGCTTAGAGTCTTCTCATCCTTTCAGAACTCTGTCTCTCTGTTCAGACACTGTGAGTTGACCTTTGCTTGGATCATCTGTGGCTGTGACATTGACTTCTCCGAGGTCCCTCGTCTGAGCCCTCCCCTCTCCTGGGGATCCCAACATTGTGGCCTGTGAATCAGTTACCTCTTCAGGCTTCCAAGACTCAGTTCCCAGACTGTAAGCCCAGTAACAGTAAGCCACAGTAAGCCCAGAAAACAGCTGTTCTTGTTGACTGAGCACATACTGTTCAACAAGCCCAGTCCCTGCCTTGTCTCACTCATCCTCTCAGTGACTCTGCAGTCTACACAGTCTTTCTATGAGCAAGGAAACCAAGTCACAGCAAAAAGGTAGAGGAGGTGAATTCCAGGAGGACTGAGCGATGGCAAATCCTCTCATCACTCACAGAAGACGGGGAGAAACAACAGAATGGGGCTCAGACCCTCTGTGACGGGAGTTCAGGCAGCTTCCTCCCTGAGGTGGAGTGTACCAGGAGTGAGGTCACACTTGGAACCAGTTGCAGTGAGTCCCTGTGGGGCCAGCCAGATACCCTATTCCCACTAGGGACTAGGGTCTCTGGACTCACTTCTTAGACCAAGCAGTATTTAATGTTTATGACTCATTTCAAGCTAACAGGGATCATTTATGGAAGAAAATTACATTTTTAGACTACTGGAGGGTTTAAGGATTTCTCTTCCTCTAAGGAACTGACATAGTCCAGAAAATAGACCAAACAAGAGGCAGAAAGACCAGCCCAGTTTCTCCATTTGGATGGCAAGTCTCAATCTTAGTTTTCCTGGGTGATGCGGGGATAATAAATGTTTCCATCACAAGGTTGTGGTAGCTTCCACGATAATGTTGTTACAGGAAGGGAGACCCCTTCCAGGGCCCGAACTGGGCTCTTGTCTACCACGTGGAAATGAATTGTCTGAGGAGACACATGTGCTGACAAAGCAAGAGATGGGAAAGGGCACCTGGGTGGAGAGCAGGAGGGTAAGAGAACCCAGGAGAACTGCTCTGCCACATGGCTCTCATTCTCGGGGTTTATGGTGATGGGATTAGTTTCCGGGTTGTCTTCAGCCAATCATTCTGACTCAGAGTCCTTCCTGGTTGTGCACGCCTTGTTCAGCCAAGATGGATGCCAGAGAGGATTCTGGGAGGTGGTCGGACCTGTGGTGTCTCCTTTTGACCTTTCTTGAACTTTTCTGTTTGGTGGAGGCTTATTAGTTCCATGTTCCTTACCAGGACCTCCTGTCGTAAAACAACTTATGCAAATGGTTACTATGGTGCCTGGCCAGGGTGGAAGGTTTCAATCCATGTGCTTCCCCTAGCAACTCCCCCCTGACAGACTTCATACTCAAGATACTACTCCGGATGAGGCAGAGGTCTCTTTCTTCTGTAACTTCTTCCTGCTATGCATGGGTGTAGGCCGGCCTAGCAGAGCAGAAGTCTCTCTCTACCTGAACTAAGTCAATGTATTTTTTGTCCTAAACCAGCATTCACCCTTGTAATAACAGCAATTTAGTTTGAAACTGTTGGCTCCTCTCAGAGATGAAATAGACAGGGGCCAAACAGGAAACCTAATAGAATGGTCATCACTGGTCCCCAGCAACAGGAGGTAACATCTGGGGTGCGGGCTGCGGGGTTTGTGACCTTTTTTGATTGGCTCGTGGTGAGGCAACAGAGCTGTGCTCCAGGAATTTGTGTTTAGTCTGAAGTTACCATGCTCCACCTGGGTAAGGTCTCCAGTTCTGTAGAAGAACTCAAAGACATTTTTATGCATATTTCTTCGAGTAGGAACCAGGACCCTGTCTCAAGGCTGTACCAACCTTTGTTTCTCCTGTTTCTATATCCCCTCCCTTCCCTTATTAGCAATTGTTTGAATCCACTCTTTGGAACTCAGGGAAGTTCAAGAAGGCCGTTCAGTTCAGTTCAGTTCAGTCTCTGTCGTGTGCCGACTCTTTGCGACCCCATGAATCGCAGCACGCCAGGCCTCCCTGTCCATCACCAACTCCCCGGAGTTTACTCAAACTCATTGCCCATTGAGTCGGTGATGCCATCCAGCCATCTCATCCTCTGTTGTCCACTTCTCCTCCTGCCCCCAATCCCCCCCTCCCCAGCATCAGGGTCTTTTCCAATGAGTCAACTCTTCACATGAGGTGGCCAAAGTATTGGAGTTTCATTCAGCTTCAGTATAAGTCCGTCCAATGAACACCCAGGACTGATCTCCTTTAGGATGGACTGGTTGGATCTCCTTGCAGTCCAAGGAACTCTCAAGAGTCTTATCCAATACCATAGTTCAAAAGCATCAATTTTTCGGTGTTCAGCTTTCTTCACAGTCCAACTCTCACATCCATACATGACCACTGGAAAAACCATAGCCTTGACCAGACGGACATTTGTTGGCAAAGTAATGTCTCTGCTTTTTAATATGCTGCCTAGGTTGGTCATAACTTTCCTTCCAAGGAGTAAGCATCTATGAATTTCATGGCTGCAGTCACAATCCGCAGTGATTTTGGAACCCCAAAAATCAAAATCAGCCACTGTTTCCACTGTTTCCCCATCTATTTCCCATGAAGTGATGGGACCAGATGCCATGATCTTAGTCTTCTGAATGTTAAGTTTTAAACCAACTTTTTCACTCTCCTCTTTCACTTTCATCAAGAGGCTCTTTAGTTCTTCTTCACTTTCTGCCATAAGGGTGGTGTCATCTGCATATCTGAGGTTATTGATATTTCTCCCAGCAATCTTGATTCCAGCTTGTGCTTCTTCCAGCCCCTAACTTACTACATTTTTAATGGGAGGTGAAAGATAAGCACACAGAGTTAGTTTAACATTACATCAGTTTGCCCTTCACAAAACCAGGATGTTTGCTGCATACTTCTTTGCTTGTGAGAGTCTTTTTCCATAGTAGATTTTTGTACATTATCTTCTGGCCTTGGGGCCCATTGCCATTTTATGATCTAGGTGAATGCAAAGCTGTTTTCCATAGTCTATTCTTTATTGTTCTATTTTGCCTTGAGCTTAGCCGAAAACAGAAAAGTGGCAGTCTCAGGTACAGCAGGTTGCAACATAGTAGAAATACAATCCTGTTAACACAAAGGTCAGTCTTTTTGCAGAAGTTCTCAGCTAAATTTATCTAAAAAGTTGAACACGCAGAGACTCTATGGCTCCGGTGAGGCAGCCCCTGTTTAGCACTCTTGGTTAAAACGAACAATTATCTTATTGTTTCCATACTAGGGCTAAACACTTATTTTTCTAAATCTTTAATATAACCACTTTTAGGATAACATTTTTGTGTTCTCTAATAGGGCTTCCTCACCCCCGGAAAGGCTCTGTGCCTATTAGGGCCTTTTGTGTGATCAGGTTCTTTATGCTGTTTATGTTTAAGGTGTTGTGAGCAGTCATGTGCATTAGTACGCATTTGCCAAGCAGGCTAGAATGCCAGCAAAGGGGTCTAAGTTGAAACACTCCTTTCATCCTGGATAATCTTATAGGATACCACCATCCGGGGGACATAATGATTAGAGTTCTAAGTTGATTCTGTTTGGAGAGAGATCGGGGAAGGCCTTCTACCTGTGTCACAGAAATTAGGGAGTAGTCTAATATAGCAAGCCTCAGAAAGACAGATATTATCTTTAAGGTGAGCGCCGGGACAGCTTTTTCGAAATCCCTGAAGTCCTGACCAGCCTTGCTTGTCAGGTCTTCTCCTCATGACCTTGTCATGGGTGGGATCTCGTGTGCTGGCTCCTGGCAATGTACTCCGCAAATAAGTTAAATAAGCAGGGTAACAATATACAGTCTTGACGTACTCCTTTTCCTATCTGGAACCAATCTGTCTTTCCATGTCCAGTTCTAACTGTTGCTTCCTGACCTGCATATAGGTTTCTCCAGAGGCAGATCAGGTGGTCTGGTATTGCCATCTCTTTCAGAATTTTCCACAGTTTATTGTGGTCCACACAGTCAAAGGCTTTGGCATAGTCAATAAAGCAGAAATAGATGTTTTTCTGGAACTCTCTTGCTTTTGTGGTGATCCAGCGGATGCTGGCAATTTGATCTCTGGTTCCTCTGCCTTTTCTAAAACCAGCTTCAACATCCGGAAGTTCACGGTTCACCTATTGCTGAAGCCTGGCTTGGAGAATTTTGAACATTACTTTACTAGTGTGTGAGATGAGTGCACTTGTGCGGTAGTTTGAGCATTCTTCGGCATTGCCTTTCTTTGGGATTGAAATGAAAACTGACCTTTTCCAGTCCTGTGGC